GAGGTGGTTTTAAACTTAATTTCTTTAAATGTTTGACTTCAGATTTATAAAATGTTTTGTTGTTAAGCAAACATTTGTTCTTTTCAGGAACAAAAATCCAAGTTTATAAAGTTCAAAGAAATATGATTGTGGCATTTATTGGGATTATTATGGATACTGACTGAGTTTTTGTGTTGGTAACATTTTTGGCCACATTTGTCCAGCCCTATGATTTTCTTCGGTCAGAAATGCCTTGCATGGAAATTGAGGGGGGTCTAAAGTAGGTTCTCAGTATGCAGCTTTTTTGTCTGATGATTGGAGCTAAATCAGTGCGTCTGTCTCTCATACAAATCTAAGATGGAATTTATTTATTCATGAAGACAGATATGGAAACTGATTAATTTAAAAGAAAATACTTTTAAGTGAGCAGAAAATCCCCAGTGAAGCACACCACAACTGAAGAACAGTTCAAGAGACTTGAGATAATTATTCAAGGGTGCATCCAAATGTGTTGCCACACTCATGACATCTTTTAAAACGCAAATGTGTCCCCAACTTTTGTAGCCATGATGCTTCATCTTTGGAAACAAGAGCATTTCATGTACTTTTGGTATTCTTCTACTTCTGTTAAGAAAGGACAGACTTGCATTTTACAGGAAAAAAGCAACACTAGGGGGCATCATTGTGCCATGGAAATAGACACTATTTGCTGTGGGGCCACATCACTTCTGATAGAATGGCGTGGACACTATGTTGTCTTTCTTACAAAATGAATACAATACGTGATTAAATCTGGGTTTAACTAATTTTATATGATGTCAAATACAATATTAAAGTCACATTTAGTCTGACATATACAATATAATCTTCACATACTACCTTTTTTACAATATTAAAATATTAGAATCATTGACATCGGCATATTTTCTCCACCCAGTGAAGGTCAAAAATAGGGTCAATATTTGTGAAAAGTAATTCTTCTGAACTATACAGCTCACATAATGGCTGTTTCCATCCCAGGGTCTCTTAATACATAAATAAATGAACTTATACAATTCCCCTAACTCATTGCCCTCCATTTAATAACTCATTATTACAGCAAAATGGATGAAGACAGTGATTGTGGGTAAACTGATCACACAAATATTAATGGCACAATAACAGATCATAGGTCTTCTCTGTCAGTGAGTTGCACACAGTTTGTACAAAGTCCACCTCTTCTACCGTTTGCACTTAACAACAGGCGGACATGAGCATACAGGAACTCCTTCCCTCCTCCTCCTGTGCATCCTCCTCCCTCTAGCCCTCGTTTGGTTTCTCTTGGCGACGATGACAAAGATGAAGAGCGCTGCCAACATCACAGCTGTTATCAGGAGGCAGCCTCCGAAAACCAACATGGTTTTGTTCTTGAGCATCCATGCACACACAGAGCACTGTTCATGCAGCTCGCTGAACCTGCAGGTGGGAGCAGTGTCGTCCTCTGGGAAACCGCTGTGAGTGATGATTTCTCTGTAGACGGCGACAGAGGCCTTGGCTTTGGATTGGTGTTGGGTCGAAGTGAAAAGGCCGAACTGTGGGACGTGTCGATCTTGCAGTTTCCACATGTAGAAGCCCTGCAGGTTGACCCCATCTAACTGCCGAGCTGCAGAGAAAGTGATAAGGATTAGAATCATTCCTCTACTTTCTCCTCGTCTTCAATGAGTAACCCAAATAAGTTGTTTTCAATCAGATCTTATGAAAACATGCACAACGGTTAACCTATGAGAAAACAAGACAAGTTTGTGCAAGAGAGCCATAAAGGGCAAAGTATGAACTCAACATTGATACGCGTTGCTGCTGAACAGTGTTTTTCTTCCTTCTCTGTTTTTATGGTATTTATGGTTCCTCATCAAGTTTGAGTTTTATTATAGAAAGCAATGTGGCCATAAAATCCCTTATGCCAGTGAGCTCCACTGGCATAAGGGATTTTATGTCGTATCTATGTCTCCTGAATGCTGCAAATCTCCATTTTGTTCCCTCCACCAAAGAGGTTATGTTTTTATTTTTATCCCTTTGTTAGTTTGTTTGGGAGCAAAATTCCACAAAAACAACTGAATGGATTCATATGAAAATTGGTGAAAAGATGTGAATTGGATCAGAGAAGAATTTATTGTATTTTGGTTCAGATCCAGATCTAGTTCTTTTCAACTTTACCATTGCAAAATGGAGCTTTTTTTGAACATTTTCAATATTTTGCCAGAGAATAATTTGTACATTTAGGGAACTGATATCTATGAGTGTTTGTACTTTGGTTCAGTTTGACTAAATTTAAAGGGATTGTTGGCCTTTGGCCGAGGTATGTGCTCTACTGACAGCCATTTTAGTGAAACATGATTTAACTACACATTCTGGATCAGACAACAATAACATGACATATTGGAAGGCGGGTAGAGATGAAATCCATTTCCCACCTTTGAGACCCTCTTGCAGGTAGCTCCTGAGGTAGTGTTGCCGAAGTTTGTCCTCTACGGGAGCCTGATCATCAACCCCACTGGCTGTCACAATGATCGGTAGAGCGCTTCCATATCTGTGGCTCACCCAGTTCAGGATACTCCTCAGGCCCCAGGGTACGAGAGCCTGCCCTAGACTGGATGAAGGCCAGGTGGGATCAGAGAGGGTCAGACAGTCATGATCAGGGGGTTGTTTTTTCTGCTGAGAACTGGCCTGTGCGTGAGGATAGGGGGACACCAAACGGGTGGTAAAGTGGTTCAGTGCGATAAAATTCAAAGCCCCTCTTAGCTCCTCCTTCTCCAAGTCAGTAAAACTAGGTAGAGGAGATCCAGGGAGGCCCATCACTCGAGCTCTCTCCTCCAGGTATGCCTTCATTTCTTGTGGGTACCCCCCTTCGTTATGCTTCTTCTCATTTCTTGTTCCCAGCAACGGGTCTAAGAAGCGACCGAGTTCAAACAACAGGAATCTCTGTGCTGCTGCCGTATGCGAGTCCAGGAAAGGGTTGGCTGGTTCAGCCCAGTCCGCATGTAGTGCGAGTGATACCATTCCTCTCTGTGCTTTGTATTGTCCCCTCTCATATGACCTCCACGCTTTCGCATGAGCCAGAAGAAGATTGTGAGCTGCTCGATGTTTCTCTTTCCCATCAGAATAAAGATCTATGAGTCTGTTCGGCTCATTGATGGTGATCCAGTATCGAACCCAGGACCCCAGCTGCTGGTAGCACAGAGCTGCATATTTCTGAAAAGCTTCTACTGTGCTGTAGTTGAGCCAACCCCCAGAGGCATGGATTGGAACTGGCAAGCCAAGATTTGGAGCTCTGTGTGTAGGGTAGTAGAGGATCACCACAGCCTCCAGGTTTAGCTTCTTGAGCTCGGTCAGGACACAGCGGTAGTACCTTTCAGATGTAATAACAATGTGAAACAAAATCTACAATTAAAGACTGACTCACATAACAGACATTGGGATTCATCTTTAAATCCCAATTAGTGCTGGATGTTGGGGTGACCGGCACTGTGACAGATCATGTTACGTGCATGTATTTATTATCTACCTCAAAGCCTCAGAGTTCACCTCAGAGAGGTCTCCATGGGGTAAAATCAGAGACCAGTTTAGGGCGAAGCGGTAGTGAGATGCCCCAGTGGATGCGAACAAGCGAAGGTGACCATGGATCGCCAAATAGTCAGTGCACTGGGCTGGTCTAATGCTGAGCTTCACCCCTGGGACGGGACGCAATGATCCATCTCCCGTCACATTCCAGCTGTACAGATGTGGGTCAGTAAACTGTGGTGAGAAAGGGTTGAAGTGGACCTGCCACAACAAAAAAGAAATAAGAATAGTAAAGTGAATGGAGCCATTATTTAGGATTTTCTTCCGCAAAATCACTCTCTTGTCTTCTCACCTGTAAAGTGGAGTCAGCAATACCCCAGTGAAAGTCACAAGGGAAGCGACCCTTGACCTCTTTGGAGGTTTCACCTATGAGGAAGCCGTTGTCAGCGACAACACGTCTGTAGTACAGAGCAGAGGTCTTGGGGTTCCTGGTTGGGTTTGATTGGCTGAAGTCAATGTAAAAAAGGCCTCTTCTGACAGTGTAGCCATAATTCCACTCAAATCCATCCACCAATGACCAGGCGACGTAGCCAAACACCTGCACACCATCGAACTTAATCGCTGTAACAGAAAAGACAATTATAATAGAAAAAAAGGTGTTTAACATATTTGTTTTATGATTTCATTAAATTATTTTGATCATTCCAGTTCTTCTCTTACCTTGCAGGACCTGGTTGATAAAATTCTTCATCAGATAAATGGCCACTGTGTCCTCCTTTCCCACCCCTGCTTCAGAGAACCAGCCTCCCTCAGCCACCAACACCCTCGGGTCCCCATACTCCAGCTTTATCCAGCTCAACATGCGCCTCAGGTCTGGGGTGACAGTTTGCCCATACTGGACCAGGGTCCGGCCCAGACGGAGATTGTAAGGCCCGAAGGACAGAGCAAAAAAGTCGGCTGTTTTCTGCACCCAGAGCTTCTCCTCAGGGGTGAACGTGGGCAGGAGGGCCCCGTGCTTGGTCCTGAAAGATACAGGATAGTCCCCGTCTCCAAAGATGGGGTTGGCAAACCAGCCGAGCACAGCCTCTATTGACTCCTGGCACAGCTTAACATTGGCAGCTGTGGCCTGGCCTCTCTGAGGTTCGATCCAATGGGATCCCAGAACAATGGATATTTTACCCTTCTGAGTTGGGCGGAAGTGGGTGTTGTAGGTGTGCCATGCTTTGGCGTGTGCCTGGAAATTACAGTAGACATGTTATGATGCACTGCAATCTACAACAAAATCACTATTATACAATAGTACATTTTAACTGACAACATGGTAATAAGAATACTGTTGGCTGAATTATTTAGTTGCTTCAGCTTGAGAGTACTGGTATTGTTCATGCTGACTCATCATGGTTTATAGTCATTTCTTAAAGATGTTTTTGGGGTATTCTGCTTTTTTTTTTTATTCAAGCAGAGAGAATGGGGCAGGAGGACATGCACGAAAGGTGCAGGTTCAGAACCGAACCCACAGTTGCTGCAGGAGGACTCAAGCCTCCATATGCTCGCTAGCTGACACCCAAGCTTTTAGTAATTTTAAGAGTAATACCTGTGCTTCTGTTATGATGAAAAGTGCTTTGAAAAAGACCAATGAAGCTTTTTAAACACTTCAGAATTTTAAAAAGTGCACAAACGCATCAAAGGCTGCACAATCTTCAATCTTCTAAATTGAATAATTTGGGAAAAAACCCAAATCTGGATCCAGCACAGTATCATTTAAGCTCTGCAAATGATTTATTCTTGAATACACCTATTGTCACTTTGGATAAAGAGTCATCAAAATGATATGTAATGTAATGTATTCCTCTTGCAAGAACTGACCTAACTTTTTACCTTCATTCTTGAGATGTCATGCAAACCAACAGCTTCAACAAACAAGTGGAAGTAACAGAGTAATTATGAAAACAAATCTATTGGACTCAGACGATTATCAAAAGCTATCTCCTGTGCGCCACTCTCGGCTGCATAATCACAAGTGATTATTAATGAAGCATATCTCCATGACTTCCTGTCACACGCCGCTTCTCACCAGCACAGACGTGCTGATGTGGTGGACTTTGTCCCCAATGAATCTTTGAGTATCCTGTTTACTGATCACAAAACTGTTAAAACGAAATATGACCAGCTGATTTTTTTTAAAGTTGTATTAGAGGTAAGCATTGAGGCTTTGCACCAGTAACAATGTATGTTACAATGCAATACATTTTGTCCTTATTGATTAAAGTCTATTGCTTGAACAAGATATAAGAGCAATGGTTCAGTCTGCTTTTGACTCAATGTCTTATGACCTCAAAATCATTTGGATGATGCAAATATTCAATGTCATAAACTGATAAAAGTTGCACAAGTTCAAAGTTTGCAGACGGCCTGCATTATGAGATAACTCTTCTTAAACAGCCCAGCAGCAGAACAGGCTCCTCATCTGAGCCTGTCTAACTCACCCTGATCAGGTTGTGGGCCACAATAAGTGAAGCAGAGGGACCCCCTGTCTCTCCAGGAGCATGCACACCTGTCCCGTACCCCTGCACAGCCACCAGGTACGGGTTGTGCATTGTGAGCCAGTACCTAACACGACTCCCAAACGTGCGGAAGCAAAAAGCAGCATATTCCTCAAACAGTCCCACCAGTGTGTCGTTCCTCCAGCCTCCATATTGCTCCTGCAGGGCCTGTGGCAGGTCCCAGTGATGCAGAGTGATGACAGGCTCGATTTTCTTCTTCAGGAGCCTTTCTATGAGGCGGCTGTAATGCTCCACAGCGGCCATGTTGGGCTGGCTCCTGGCGTTTCCATCAGTAAACAACCTGGGCCACGAGAGAGAGAAGGAGTACGATCTCACACCCAGCAACTCCAGAGCCTTGACATCTTCTTCCCAGTGAGCGTAGCCATCACTGGCCACACTGGGAGCCTCGGTTGCCAAATCACCACTGACAGAAGAGTGGGTGAAATGGTCCCAAATGGAGGCACCCTTCCCCTCCTGGTCCCAGGCTCCTTCTGTCTGGAAGGCAGACGTCCCTGAGCCCCAGAGGAATCCTGAGGGGAAGGTGTCATGAATGAAAGACTGGGTTTTGATGGGGTCCAGGTTGGGCAGCTGCCAAATCTTCTTGCCCTCTCCAGGAGAACAGGCGGCCTTGTTCCAGCCACACACCCACAGCAGGGCGCACAGTGAGAGCCACTGAAGTGTGGGAGGAGGATGGTCCAGCATGCTGAGGGAGTCCACCTTGTTTCAGAGTTCCACTTGAAGGAGATAACTGGTGACATCTAGAGCAGCTGCTCTGTTCAAAAATCCTCCTGTGATTGACAGAAGATCCATAGTGGCGGCGAAGGAAGGGAGAGGAATGATCACAGCGAGGAGAGAGGGACAAGTGAGGCTCTGAGGTGCTGCAGTGTCCATCTGACAACCTGGTCACACTTCCTTATCTCTCCCTCAGCCCCTCCCAACCACATCATGTTCACACATACAGTGGCTGACTCACAAGACACACACAAGCTCTTACTACTACACCTCTGAGTGGGTTTCAGGGGAATTACTTCCACCTGTAATTCACCCCAAAAATCCCTCGATTATATCATCAAATCAAAATAATCTTTAAAGAGAGGAATCACACTTGTGAAGACACACACACACACACACACACACACACACACACACACTCTCTCTCTATCTCTAAATATGCTGTTGATTGCTGTAACGAAGGCTCTTGAGTCAATAATTACCTTGTACTCTGATCTTAGCCCTATAACAGAAGGAGTTCACATTTCGGTCCTTTTCCCACGAACACATACAGATTTCTTTCTGCCCGCATTTCATTCGAGGGATACCTTTTTTTAAATACAACTTCACGTTCACACTTGTATTGAGCACTTACCTACACCAAGGCCCAGAAGTCCCTGTATGAAACCACATTTAAATTCACTAGATACAGATTTTAATTTGGTTCTGCACCAAATCGTGCACTCTCGTAAATATCAATCTCCTAAATATGTGTGTTTTTATTCTCTGAGAAATCAACCAATAATTGAATGCTAAATGTTGAAAAACAGATCTGGTTCTTTCCTGACATATACCACATCAGTCCAGCAATCCAACCTGTAGTTTTTTGTGTTATCCTGCTGACAGACAGTCAAATGCAGATAGGAACACAACCTCCTTGGTGGAGATGACAGTTTAAACAAGAGCAGCCTGATAAAAAACACACAGATGTACACACAGGCTATTCTCTTGTTGTCTTATATGGCCTGGAGAAGTGAAGCATGTCTGCAGGGTTCTTCCAAGATTTGATCAAACCTCGCCAGGTGAGAACCAGCTCATATGACCTTATTCAATTTAGCTCCACTTATGTGAGTAACTGGGCCAAGGAAAAAGCAGAGCGGCCAGACGGAAAACATTGATGGGAAGTAAGCGTGTGAGTGTGTGAGTGTGTCCCTCCATCTGTCTGTACACACTCTGTGATTAAGCCTCCAAGCCACGACAGAACAGCATCACAAAGCCTCTCTCCTTGTGCTCGTTCATCAGGGCAGTGTGTACAGCTGTCCAGAGTAAACAGCGTAGTTACCCAGGTTACACTCTGCAACGAGGCATCATAGGATAAATCTATTGTGTTAGGAAATAGTCATTTCCCACCCAGGCTGACATTAGTGTGATCACTGTGATTCAGAGAATATGCTCCTGAGCAGCATTGTGCCTGTATACCAGTATGTATGTATTGTTTTACAAAAGAAAAAGAAAAAAAAAAAAACGTGTTTTGCAATATAGTGAAATTATTCAGATTTTAATTACATTCACTCATAATTCTTCAGTATCCATTCAGAGCATTTGAACCAGAGTTGATTCTCTCACTGTCTGAACATATTGGTATAGTGTCATGCAACATGTATCTTATCATGAAGACAGTAAAATGATTTAGGGAAGTAAAATAAGGATGTATGTGACGAGAATTACTTTCGCTTCTGTGTTTGCCTCAGCAATGATATGCACTGTAGCATCAGCAGAAAAAAACGAGATGAGCCGAGGAACATCCTCTTTCTACCCTCTGAGATTTTGAATAGCTGCAACTGACATTTCTATGGACTTGAAAACATGAGCACAGATTTGCCATGCGGACTCTATTCAAATATAATTGACTGCAACTAATTTAACTCTCAACAAACTATAAACACTGCCGGAGAATCCATCTGACCTCAGTACAGGTTAGTGCCCTTTTGGTTGGTCTGTCTCTATGTCAAATTGTTGTTAAATGTAGTTTTTGATTTGATGATGATTTTATAATAATTATAGAAGCAATTTCATTTTACTAGCATATAGTCTCAAATACAAAGCAAGTCAACATGAAGACAACAGGAGAGGTTTTTAAATCATAACTATGCATTGAAAACAAATGACTGTGACTGTTTGTTTGAAAAGATTGAAAACAAGTGAGCAAGGGGCCAGAATAGTAATAAACACAGTGATGTTTCCTGTTGTTCATATTTAAAAACAGCAACAATTCTTCCTTTTACAGAACAGAGCCATAGTAACAATAACACGTACTTTTACATCTATCAAATGCAGATGCTGCTGCAAAGGTGTGTCCTATTTGTCTAGGGTGGCCATAATACCCAAATTATTGAATATATATACAATATAATAAATATAATTTGGAGTCAGTTATCAACAACAACACCCTCCTATTCAAACAGGAATTTATTGATGGTCCCTAAATGAAAGAGCTGTGATGGCAGAATTGACAGGTTATCAAAGGGGATCAATTATTGGTAAGTTTTTAGGAGTCGGAATGCCTTTTCATCCACCTACAAATCACCTTCCGACTATATGTATCTATATTAAATAATACCCATAGCCTACTTCCGATACCTACATTTGTTAAATGTGTTTGACGTGGGGGTGCATAATATTAACTTTATGACTGAGAGAAAAGAAAACCCTTCCTGTTATGTCCAAGAAGACGCAGAAGGTCACACGATGGAAGTATAGACAATAACTTTACATAAAGTATTAAGTCTATTAAGGCACAATGATAACACTGATTTATCTCCTTACTGTTATGCAGGAAAACAATGAGGCCTACGACTGAGGCCCTCTGGGCAGCACTCATGTTGGCAGGACTCCTGCAGCTCGCCTCACTTGCCTCATCACTTGACAGCAGTGTGGACCTCTCGTCCCGGAACCTCTCCTCTGTCCCCAGAGACCTGCCACATGGGGTTGAGTTTTTAGATCTGTCACACAACCACATACAGCAGCTTCACCAAGGGGACTTTCAAAACACCACTCTCCTGAGGGGTCTGAACATGTCAGGGAACATTTTGGAGGGGATAGATCCAGGGACTTTCCTCGACACGCCATTCCTGGAGGATCTGGACCTGTCCCACAACAGGCTGAGGAACCTGTCGGGTCAGCAGTACCTGCTGCACACAGGGAATCTCCTGTTGTTGAATCTGACCCGGAACTCGTTCGTCACGATGACACTGGGGGGGTCTTTCAGTTCCCTGGTGAGACTGGAGAGATTGGCACTTGAGGCAGAAAACATCAGTGTGGGTGATTTCAAGAACATCACTGAAGTGAAACTACAAACACTGACAATTTGTCTGGGGGAAGAGTTGGATTATGAGGCAGGCAGCCTGGAGGACGTTCACGCTCAAAGGCTTCAGATAGCCTCCACCAGTAGTAAGATTGTGGACCTTCTCCTGTACACTGATGCTCTGTCACTCTTTGACGAAGTGGAGTTGATGAATTTGACAGGCAGCTACAGGGAACTTAGTAAGCAGCTTAGCCAGATAGCAGAAATCCGCACTTCTCATCTTTATCTCACCAACATATTAATCAAATGGGCAGACTTAACTCACTATGTCAATGTGATTCTGCAAACATCTATCACTCATCTAGAAAGCTCTGATGTGGTCATGTACAATTTGCCCTATAAAGACACTTATGTGACCCAGAAGTCTAAAATGAAATCCTTTTCAAGCAGAAGGGCTGTGGTGAAATCTTTCTTTTTCTCACAGGAGGCTGTGTACAACTTCTTCATCAATATGCCGGTGGAGAGTCTCTCAATCAGACATACTGCAATCATTCACATGACCTGCCCAAAGTCACAGAGTCCAATCCTCCAGCTGGACTTCTCCCACTGTGCTTTATCGGACACCATCTTCTCCATGGTGGAGGAACAGCAAATTCTTGAGTGTGAGACTCTCATTAATTTGAGAAAATTGATTCTGGTCAACAACAATCTCAAGAGTTTCCAGCTGCTGAGCCAACGCATGCAACACATGAAATCCCTGCAGCATCTTGACCTAAGTCTCAACTCCCTCTATTACAATGGAATAGATGAGTGCTTGTGGCCACCGAACATCACCAATATGACTCTGTCCTCTAACCGTCTCGCAGACTCTGTTTTTAAATGTCTACCAGAAGGAGTAGAGACGCTGGACCTCCAGAACAACCAGGTTTCCGTGGTGTTGTCACCCATCTTAAAACTGGAAAACCTCACATCTCTGAATCTGATCGCCAACAGGCTGCGGGACCTGCCTGTGTGTGACGGTTTCCCCAAACTGAACCTGCTTCTGCTCGGGTCAAATTCCCTCCACGCCCCATCTGTGAACAGGCTGGAGACCTGCCCCAAACTGAGAACCCTGGACGTCAGCTACAACCCCTTCACCTGCACCTGCGCTCTGAGGAGTTTCATACGTCTTGGCATCAACTCTGAAAGGAAGACCAGTCACACAGGAATTGAATTATTGAGCTGGCCAGTGGAGTATTACTGCACCTACCCAGAGGATGTTAGAGACACCATCTTGAAAGACATCTGGATCCCAGAGGTCACCTGCAATGTTGGCATCCTAGCAGCCACCATCTTGTGCCCAGCAGTGGTAGCGCTTTTGGCAATTGCGATGCTGTGCCACCATTTAGACATTCCCTGGTACGGGAAGATGATCTGGCAGTGGACCAGGGCCAAACATCGTGCCAGAACAAGACAAGTCCAACCGGAGGACCTGATTGGTGTCGAGTTTCATGCTTTTGTGTCTTACAGCCAGCACGACACCGACTGGGTGCACGACTCCCTCCTTCCCAACCTTGAAGGTCCTGCAGGAGGCCTCCGACTCTGCCTTCATGAGAAACACTTTGTGCCGGGAAAGAGTGTTGTAGAGAACATCATCAACTGCGTGGAGAAAAGCAGGCGTTCTGTGTTTGTGCTCTCGGCTCACTTTGTAAAGAGTGACTGGTGTCACTATGAGCTGTACTTTGCCAGCCACCAACGCCTTTCCCGGGGATCCGACAGCATCGTGCTGGTGTTGCTTAAGCCTCTGCCTCAATACACGATCCCATCCAAGTACTATCAGCTGAAGTCTATGATGGGCCGGCACACCTACTTGGAGTGGCCACAGGACCAGGCCAAGCACAGGCTGTTCTGGGCAAACCTGAGAGCTGCTCTACAGGCAGACCTGCCCAATGCACCGGTCGTAGAGATAGAGGAGTGACTGCACAGTTAGGGGGCTTTAAAGAGTTAAAGGATGTGGGAAAAAGAAATGTGAAAGTGGCAGAGGAAGTTTGCAAGAGGGAACATATGAGGAGTAAAGTCGTAGGAGCACAGGGGACACTGAGTGAAAAATAAGTGTATTGTTTTTTTGTATTCCTTTAACACGAGTCTACTTAGGAGCTGAAGACAAACTGTTGTTTTAAGTTTGTAAGATTTAAATCATATAGTCACATAACATACCAACTTCTTGAAACAATTCAAATGATATTTAATGTTGACATTTACATAAACTAACAAGTTGATCAGGTTTGTAACAAAAACAATAAACATTACCAGAGAATATCAAAAACGCACTTGATTCTATTATCAACACTGACATCCATATCACAATGTGATTAAACCACTTCAAATGTGGTTAAAAGCACATAATGTGGTGTAAAGGAAACCGATGCACACACTGCGAAAACTGCATGAGCATTGTATGTTTGCAAAACCAGTGTTTTCTCCAACTTCCTTAAAAGACAGATCCACTTGTATGGCAAGAAAGCTTTTCTTATAAGTACAATTAAAGATGAAAAAGAGACAAGAGCTAAAAATGATGTGTCCTGCTGTTGAGACAGCAACCGCAGCTAATCAGGTCACGAGGTCAGTCCAGCTGCATTAAATCTGTGTCTTGAATATCTGTTATAAACAGATTCAAAAGTCACATTCCAGGTATCAGGGAAGAGACTGGATGATGATGATTTTTTCATTGATGCAGAATCGGTGAAGCACGCTCAGGAGGTTCTCCCCACAACGCGACACCTGCCTCTCCATTGCCAGACGAAAATCCTCTTTCACTCCTTTGGTGATTCCTCGAGTCACTGTGTGGTGTCTGTAAAAGTTAAAATGATGAAAAGAAAAAAGGTGAACACAATCATACACATGGTCAGAAATGTATTATCATGAGCCTATTTGTCACAGACAGAGAAATGTGACCTATGCAGTACAGACAAAGTCATGAAGACAAAATGTTAATTTTTTTCTTTCGCACTCATCAGCCAGTCAAGATTATTATACAACAAAGCTTTCATGGTCATAAATAAAAACCACATAAAACATGTCCACAAATGAAATGATATCAAGTGTCATGAAAAGCAAAAAAAAGGAAATCAGCTGTACAAGACCAACATAATCCTCGAATAACAACTACAACAAGAGTAATGACCACAGAAAGACGAGCAATGGCTCAAATAAACAGACGCCGACAGGAAATCAAAGAACGTCTAACTCTTGATGTAAAATGACAGGCCCAAACCAAAACTGGGGGGATGACAAGCCTTGAGGTTGGGAAATGAAGGAAGGGTGACTGGTGTGGGGGAGGAATGGGGGGACTCTGGGAGGAGGGGCCTGGGGTACCTGTCCATCGCCTGCACCCCTTGTAGTAGTAGGGTGTTTAACTCCACCCCCAAGGCGGGACTAGGGTTCCTGAGGGAGAGCAACATTCAACAACTCTCAGTCAGTGAGGGTGCATTCAAGAGTCTTAACTTTCTACAGCATTGAATGAAGGAGTTTGAAAGAAGCTTTATTAACTGTAAACCCCTTCTTGTTAAAATGCCCGCTCCGTTACCAACAGTTTAATTTCAAAGTTAAAGTTTCCCCACAGGCCATGTTAGACTACTTAGATCATCAGTCAAGCACTGTTTTCTATAAAACACAACAGAACGGGAGTGTGCAGAGTCACGATGCCAGCTGGAATGTTTCTGCGAGGCGCTTACTTGATCAGCATTCCCTGATTGGGCAGCAGCTCCAGCTGAATTCTACCTCCCTCTGGAGTACGCAGGTATGCAAACTCCTCCAGCATGTCAATATCTGGCAAGAGTCATGAGCTCATGGAAACTAACATCCAAGAGGAGACCAGAGATGAATTAGTCTATATGCAGGATTTATAAATCCATTCTAGAAGTTGTAGAGTAGTAACAAATAAAGGATACTGGTGACATAGTTGAAGAAATTCTCATACTGGAAACTGCCTTGCTGACAGATTTTATCCACCGCCTTTAAAAACAGCATTTCCCCGTGTGGCCAGTCTTGCTGCAGAAGCACCACCACATGACCGAGGGACAGGTCGTCACGATTGTCTGTGAAGGCACGGAGCTGATTGGCCGAAAAGAGACAAAGACAAAGATTTAAATGTACATAGTATCAAAAACTACACGAGAGCAAATTGTTATCACAGTAAAACTTAAAAAATCAGAGACAAACATTTCCACAGACGTAGAGTAGGTACCTTAAAGCAGGCAAGCATGAGCTGGAGACAGAAAGGTAACACAGCTTTGCTGGTGCAGGGAAGCAATCGCAGGTCGTTACCTAGTTATGAGAAAAATAGAAGATTATTATCTGACAACTATGTCACTCAATAATCAGTGTCACTACTTTGACTTCTGTATGTGATTAATAGCGGTCAGCCAAAAACAAAATTATCTGACAGCATTGTATTATAGTATTGAACCACAAAAATGTGTTATCATATGAACACAAAATATAAAAATAAGGAAATATGTATCCATTTTGCACTCAATACATCAACATCAGTTTTTAAAAGCTGATTTAGAATTGTCACATGGCTGTTTTACAAAACCAGTAAGTGTTTACCTTTCCTCATTTTGGCCTTGACTCTTCCCTGATCTTCTGGGGTCTTTGTTGGTTCTTGGTTTGGAGGAACCAGGCCACTTACAACATCGAGCAGCTTCTCACAGGCCATCTGATCAACAGATATGGTACAAAATCTACATCACGACTGAAAACAGGGCAGGAATGTCACATAAACATTCATATTAAATCTTGTTAAAACTGTCTGCGATTATTATTTTTACTCCTAATTACTTTTGTAAGCAAGTTCTATGTATTGTCTGTATGTTATGGTATTATTTTACAGGACCAAAAACCTCTCTGAAAATCTTTGATGACCACGTATGTGCACATTTCTAAATCAGACATTTTTAAAGACTTCATAATTGCACCTATGTCCAAAATCTGGTAAACAGTAAATGAATGCAGAAGATATTGGGTAGAATAATGAAATATCAGTTTTTCACAATGTTTACAATGAATAAATATCGTGACTATAAGGCCACCTGCAGGCCAGTTAGTGTTACGCATCCATTTTTCAGGCATTGGCCTGAAGAGTATCATGTTTCTGTGAAGTATTCAGCAGATGTTAGAAAATACTGGACTTAAAATACCTCCCCGAATATACACATAACAATAAAGTATGAGTATATACATTATTAGAACAACAGCTCTCTGATGAAGTGGAAACTGGATTTAAATAATTTTCATTGCGATGCTATATAATCAGAATTGTGTAATATAATGTATTTAGGGTAAGCTGGGCATTTTACAGATATAAAAATCAACAAAGAAACAAAAATTATGTAATCCTTCAAACCATATGTGTGTGTGTGTGTGTGTGTGTGTGTTTACCCTGTACTCTCCCAGTGCGTAGTGGCAGGAGGCCTGCTGTATGAGGGCCCTGTGTTGCTCCAGACTGACCTGACCTGAGGGGCTCTGCTGCCCTGGCTGAGGCTGCAGCACTGCAGCCATCTGGTGCAGGCTAGAGAGAGCCTTACGGTACTGTCCCTGAAGAGGGAGGGAGAGCGAAATCATTTTTAGACAAATATTATAATAAATACATGTATTACTCTTGCTGCATTTCCCCACAGTGATAAATAAAGTGATTTAATTCAATGTAAAATTGAAATATATTAAAGATGCAGCAGGTGGATGATTTTCTTGCCTGGTATATGATAGTGTCAGTGAGGAATATTCTGAACCATAGCCAGCTGTCTGTCTTCCAAGAGGCACAGATCTTCTTGAACTCTGTCAAAATGCAAAATTACACAAAACAGTTTATTCAAATGTTTCATTTTGTTGTCATGAATGTTCTGCTGCTCTTCATTTTATGATATTACATTACAACCCTGCAAAGTATTTGTGTTTTGTGCTGATTTGTGTGTGTTTTCCGGGTTTTTGTTTGAGTTTTATGCATTTTAAAAGGGGCAGCTGGGTAAAGAGACATTTTAGAGAGAGAATCGAAGAGAGATAATATATCAGAGAATTATAAAAAAAAGTTGTAAAAAACAGATCAAAACAGAGGGAAAACATGTGCTGTTGTTGTTGTATTGGTTGTGGTTGCCACCTTATGATATTATGACCCTGCCTGGATGTGTAAACACAAACACACATTAGAGGTGTTTACCAGTTTCCAGGCCATCATGGGAGTGAAGCAGATCCCAGCTCTCCCTCGCTGTGCGGAAGCTCTCCAGAGTCTCTGACCAGCTGGGCATCTCAGTCTTGTTGACTATGATGTGTCGACCGCGGCCTTTTCCCAACCCTTCCTCATCATCTGAGCTCTACAATGACACACAAACATATGCATGGTAACAAAATGCAAATGCAACGGACACAAAAATAGTTAGATGCTATAACCTCTTTGAGAACACACAACATGTGAAAGTTATCCGTCTTTGGCTTTTCACAAAAACACATCCCTGTGATCTCTGATCTAATCTCACCATAGTCTTCTCTCTCCCATCAGCCAGTTTGCGTTTCTTGTGTGCATGTTTCACAGCTCCCCTCTCCAGCTCCACATCATTATACACCGAACTCAAATCCTCTACAAGGATCCAAGGCCCCGAACTCAGCGCATTCACGGCTGCCAAACATAAACGCATCATTTGATTATTGAACCTTCGATAGAAAACAAAACAGAGGGGCATATCCAGAGGAACTAGAGGGAAATTAACAAACAGGAAAATGTGTGTGCTTGCAGAGACAGATGCTGACCCTGGAACAGTGCAGGCTGTACAGATGAGACATAGAGAAAGGCGCTGCGGAAGAGGACGAGTGCAGCACAGATGACCACTTGGCTGCAGCAGCGGGACCGAGTCTCTCCTTCCAGACCAGGGAGGTAGCGACACAGCTCCTTCACCCTCAGCAGCATGTCCACATAACTCCTAGTACACACACATACACAAAAAAACACACAAGTACTGTAATTATTTGCCGCCAAAGCATACTAGTGTTATTTTTACCATGAGGTTTGGTGTGTGATGAAGGGAAAATTTCATCCTGGAGACAGCTACTGTGGGGGGGGTGAGGCAGTTTGAAGTTCTTCTAGTAAGTGTGTGTACTTGTTTGTGTGTCTGTAGACAGATTCTGTCAACTACACGAAAGAGTTCAACAGGATTACAGACTTCAGCCGTTAAGTTATATCAACACCTCTTTAAAACAAAAACTGATTATTATACCAGTTGTAAATATAGAATGAATTCCAGAGCTGCTGTTATTAGGCTGCATTAATTTTTGCTACGCAACCCTAAAGTACAGAAGTTACAGACAGGGAGAGTGAAAGAGCACCTCTGTCCCTTGTCTCCCTGCCACTCGCAGCGAGCTCCAACCACAGCGAGGATGTCCAACAGCCTCTCCCAAGGCTCTGCTACCACTGAAGACTTTTCAGACAGGCCGTCAATCACATAGCGCTGGGAGCCACGGGACATGTTGGGTGACTTCAGTGAACCAGCTTCCTGAGAGCCTGAAACAAAAGAACAGAGAACAAAAGAATGAACAAAGCTGTCAGGCACTTGGTGAAGAGAAAAATGTGGCGTTAGACACGAATATAGTTGATGTTTTCAAAATTGATCACACTGGGTTATCACAAAGAAAAAGTCTAGGTGCAGCCTTACCCTGTATCTGTACGTCAGGTGAGGGTCCACGGGTAACATAACCAATATAGAATTCAGCAGCTTTCAGCATGTATTTCTGCATCAGGCTGGCTGGCAAGCGCATGTCCATGTTGTTAATGACCAAAGGAAGGACATCACACACTGTAATAGTAAAAAAAATTGCAAATAGCATGAGCTTTTTTCAAATGCATCAAACACAACAGGTTTTAAACATGTGTTTCACTGACCAAACAGTTTTCTGAAGCAGTTGACGGGAGTCTCCACATTCTCTGACACCTCTGCTTCCAACAGCGTCTCTCCTAAATTGACCTAAAATAGAGCAGATTGTTAGCATTGACTGTTCTATGGTGATGTAATCTTAGTTCAAACATCATAATGAAGGAGTTGCCATATTTATATTTACCCCGTGTTGGACCACAGACTCAGGAAAGCGCTTCAGAAGAAGCAGCAGCATTTCTGCCTTCTCCAAAGTGTTGAAACACTGCTCAGTGGCTTTCAGAAGCATTTCACACTGCACACGGCCCGGAAGTGTCTCAAAAAGTCCTGGGACAACACACATATGAATAGAGACAAAAAATGGACGATCTTAGGATTTCCAAAGCAAACACTGCTTCAACCGAAACAGCCTCCCACACTTCATTGACCCTGTTAGCACCTGGTTAAAATGCTTCCTGAACGTGTCTCCTGGGACTACTGTGATCGGATCTCACTTCCCTGCTCTTTATGCAAATATACATGTAAGGCAGTTGTGTCCAAATGAGTTTACAGATGTGTCAGATCTCATTTGTGTGTTGGCACGAGTGAGGAGGGAGTAAGGAGACCGGAGGGGCTGAATGAATCTTGTGCAGCTCTGCTATGAAGACTAATTATACCAATTTAACAAATGTTCTGATCAATGTGATGTTCAGTGTTGATTCTGAGACGGTGGCCTTAAACAAATCAACTTGTGGATACTGAGAAGCATGACAAAACTTTTCATTCATTGTGAAACTGCAGCAGGTCCGAGGCTGTCAGCTGAGTTAGCGGTCCTTCATATCATTCACACCTGTACTTGGCGCTGGCCAGTTGTGATCGAATCACTCAGGACGATTATTAATACTGGGAGTGAACAGGGTCATTATCACACTCCTCACAGTGAGGATATACACTGTATTCATACAGAGTTCAACTCCACTCACCTCGTAGAAACTGTGCATGCTTGTCCTGAGAGTCACCGCGCAAGGCAGCTGTGATGACACTGATCTCCCGCCATACAGTGGGTTGGTCTGGAAAGTTAATGAACCTGAAGGATGGAGAAGTCATTGGCCACTGAGCACAGGCATGAAAGGGGCACTTACGTAGAGAAAGCACAGTGTAACTCACATGTCATACAGCAGTCTCCCTGCGGAGGCTGTCCTCTCTGCATTGCGTTCAATGTTGTACATTTCATACTGTGAAAACACGTCAACCAAACAGAGGATCCTCATAATCTGAACATGTGACAGTGCAGAGACAGTTACAGGAACACATCAGCTGAGCTGATCAGTGAATAAAGCAGATGTGTTACCTGGATGTTGAAGTCTGCAGGGTACAGGGTCCTGGCTGTGATGAGCCAGGCTTTGGCCGCACAGGGATCATCAGACACCAGCTCCCGGGCTCTTCTCACCAGAAACTCGCAGTCTTTTTGCGCTGACATGTTTACATGAATCAAACCTCCACGACTTCAGAGACGAACCTCACACACGCAGCTCAGCCTGAAGTTTAATACATACAGCTGTGTAGTTTAATCAGGGTGGGTGTGTTTTTAGTTAAGCTCAAGGGTAACAATACGGCTAACTAGCAGAAGCTAGCTAGTTAGCTCTGGATATATCTGTGTCTATTGACAACTTCGCTATAAACGTTGACCAGCCTGCGATCTTTTTCTCAATTGTCTCATTCACGTATAACAAAGATATAGAAACAACCAGAGAGGCGAAAATACCCGATGATGTGGTTATTCCAACAAAAACCTTCATTTACCGACACATTTCCCAGCGTTGTGATAATGTCACATCGGAGTCGTAAAATCTACCACGTCCTGCTTTACGGCTAGTGTTTAGCTAGTAGCATCAAAACAACGCGGAATTGTTCGTCTCTGGTCTTTTGGCTTGATCCACACTGTCTCTCTACAACCTCTGATAGGATTTAGTAACTCGAACAATCCACTGCTCGCCTCGTAATCTACAGCTGCCTGAGTATTTACATGTGGAATAACCTCCCGTGAACCAGGCGGGCGTCCTCATCCATGTACTGAGCTCTGCAGCAGTGCGCAGGCGCCAAAGCTTCACTTACTGCGGTCACCTGCAGTTGGATCAACAGACACGACCTACAGACGGTTGTGGTTCGATCCCCTCACAACAACACGCTTCCGGGGCCAGGACAGCGACAGGTGCACCCGGCAGGTAAACACCACTTTATGAGTCTGTCGCTCGTTCGACCTGAAAACACCGCGAGACGCTGTTGGCTGTCAGAGGCGTCTTCGATCACTGATCGACAACCAGGGCTCGTCCTGTTTCGGTTGCTAGCCACTTAGCATGCTAATGCATTTTTCTCTCTATCGTGCTGGCATCACGTCTCACGTTATGTCTCATTCATTCACCTTAAATCGGACTCGAGTGGTGCTATCACAACCTAGCAGGCCCTAGCACTGTCGTGCTAGCTATGTTGGCTAACTAACCCAGCATTTTTTGGGGTGTAGCTACTGAGCTAAAGACGCTAGCCTCAGGTGCTATGCTCGATGTTTAACTTCTCATACATCCAAAGTGACTCTTTGTGTAGCTTCGTGTCCTTGTTGGAAGAGAGATCAGGGTGAACCCACCGACTGACAGCATGTCTGTTACGACATGCCCCAGGGACCAGGAAGCAGCGCACAGGGCGTGCACTGTCAAATATTTATATATATTATCTTCTGATTTCATAATGAAGAAGTTGTCCTCTGCTCTAACCGTTTATGTAAATTGTCAATATCATAATGTGCTCATTATCCATAATGGTAAAACACTTAATTCATTCAAACTGTGGTGGAGTCATTATCTAGACTTAAAGTAAAAGTAACACCACATTCGAACCAGCAGCACTACACACTCTGTTATCTAGGAACACGCCCAGTAAACATGTAACGTTTGTATGAACCTGTAAGTTTCAATAATGCAAGTGATGGGATTACTCATGTACTGAGGAGTTCTATCAGTTAAGTAATATTTTATTGACTTCTGTGTTCTCTTAAAACACTTATTCTGCAAAGTAACAGTTCTTGGTCGTACTCACTTGAAACGTTTTGTAAGAATTCATGAAGGGACATTTTGGTTGACATCCTGCAACTCTGAATGACCTCACAGCACCCCTGTCTTCTCCTCGCTCTATATTTAGACAACTCCTCGAGAACTTGCGTTGTTGACTCTTTTTACACACTTGTTTGATTTCATAATGGTCTTGCTTTAATCTGAGCAAAGCAGCAGATTAATTATTAATCTTTTATGTGATAGTCTTTTTGTTATGAACATTTTCATTAAACACCGTCAAACTCAATTTACTTTGTATAGTAACATACATTAAATGCTTAAAGCAGTTGTCTTCGGTCACTTGTAGCTGTACACTGCCACCTCATGACAGAGCTGACACCAGCACACTGAGTTGTGCAACAACTCTTATCTGTTGCCAGTTGGGCAAGTCTGGTTGTAAGTTTAAGATAGTTAAACAGTGTGCAAGATATTAAATCTGGACTGCAGCCAATATATTGCATATTATAAAGTAATTTCACAACTACATTTATGGTCATTTTTCCAGTGAAGTCAATGTTTCAGTGTGTAAGATATAGGTGAAAAGGATCTATTGGTAGAAATGATTATAAAATAATCTTAGTGATGTTTTCACTAGTGTGTTTCATCTAAATTGTACGAATGTTCTTTAATCTATGAATGGGTGCTTTATATTTAAATAGTTTACATTTACATCAACATTGGGTCCTGTCTTCGGAGGCCTCCGTGTTTTTTGCAGTAGCTCTGGACAAACTAAGGCCTGACAGTCCCCTAATGAATCCACATTTAAATCCTGTAGATCTGGAATCTGATCAAGATCCAAAAAGTATTCTCAGAGAATCCTATGAAAATGTTGAAAATTACATTGTTAAAGAAAGCGAAACAAAAAAATCCTGGATTCGGCCCTTGATCCAGATCTGCACCAAAATTAAATGTGTTCTTTCCTGACCCATGCTGCATCTTTTCACCAAGGTTCGTGGTCCGTTTTTTCATAAATCGGCTGAGAATCAAACACAAATGAAAACATAACCACCTTGGTAAAAGTAAAATAAATTGAAAAAGCCAATGAAAATGGGTCTCAGTATGTATCTGATGTTTTCTCTCTCTCACACACACAGGGAGCATATTTTACAGAGTGTGCTGCTGACGTGATGCTGGAGGATCAGGCTGTGGTGCACTGAGCCTCCCATGGCTGTTAGCACCATGGACTCGGAGTCAGCCCGGACACCTCAGCCCCAGGCGACCCTTTCTAAAGGAGGCCACTCCCTCCTGTCTCCTGGGGCTCTGAGTGCTACGCTGGGCCATCAAGGGAAGCACTATGTCTGTGGCTCCATTGCAGCTTTTACCAATATCATGGTAACTTTCCCCATCCAGAAGGTGCTGTTCCGCCAGCAGCTGCACGGTGTGTTGGCCACGGAGGCAGTGCGGCAGCTCCAGAGGGATGGGCTGAGGAATCTTTACCGGGGCCTGTTGCCCCCACTACTCCAGAAGAGCACCACAGTGGCCATCATGTTTGGCCTGTACGAGGATTTCTCTCGAGTCTTATTGGACCGGGCTGATAGCAGTGGTGTGCCGGAGCTGGCCACACGAAGCTTTGCTGCAGCATTGGCAGGAACTGCAGAGGCCTTCCTGACGCCATTTGAGCGTGTGCAGACTCTCCTACAAGACCATCGGCACCACGGCCGCTTCAACAACACAGCCCACACCTTCCGGATACTTATAACTGAGTATGGTGTCAGAGAGTGCTACCGTGGCCTCGTGCCCATACTCCTACGTAACAGCCCTAGCAATGTGCTCTTCTTTGGGCTCCGGGGGCCCATTAAAGAGCAGCTCCCAGAAGCCACTAGCCGAGTAGGTCACTTGGTGAATGATTTTGTGTGTGGAGGGGTGTTGGGGGCCGCTCTGGGCATTATGTTCTATCCATTAAATGTGGTGAAGTCCCGGGCTCAGTCTCAGGTTGGTGGAGCCTTCCAGCCTTGCATTAAGGTGCTGCTGACCGTGTGGAGAGAGAGGGGTGGTAGCGTGGCCATGCTCTACAGAGGGGCTCACCTCAATTACCACCGATCCCTCCTCTCCTGGGGGATCATCAACGCCACCTATGAGCTAATGCTGAAGCTCATATGAGAGGGGGAATGGAGATGACAAAAGAAAAGAAAGAGAACGTGTTTAAAGGGAAATGCGTGTATGGAGTAAAAGATCCAGTTTGTCAAGAAGAAAAAAAAAAAAAGAAGAAAAAGCCTATGCACTAGCTGTCCAGCAGTTTTTGTGAGACACTGGAGTTTCTACAACTAAAAGACAGCAATGATGTTGCACTTCTGACCGGGGGCCAACAGTCAGCGTGAGATAACCACCTGCCATTGTGACTATTCACTGATTTCAGAGTATAACAGTAAAAACACTCTGTCGCCTATAACAAAACTTGTGCCAGGGTCCAATTAATGTGCCCTTGTTTGCTCTGAAACTCTCTCTCAAACTTTGATTTGAGCAAACTGAACTCCTGTGCTTTTTGCTTTTTCCCACAGTTTCACGCAAATGTTCCTTCACTGGATATTGTGTTTGTAAGAGAAGCTGCTTTCTTTCTATGTGCTGTGTGCTGTGGTGTCATGTTGACAATTCCTTCCACCAAGAGCACTTTGTCTATAAAACTGAATTCTGCCTCTCAACTCAAACACGTTTGTGCTTCTGACTATTATAAAACCTAAGAATTTTTTCAAGGAATTGTGATACTGTGCTGTGTCAGCTGTTGATGACCTCTTGTGGCTAGTGCGTATCAGATGTACATGTTCTTGGAAACACTTTCCAGGCTGGTCATTTAAAACGGTTTGTTCTTTGTCACATTATTCATCTATGGGAAATGTTTGTCTGGATGATGTATACATCAGTAAAATATACAGTTACACGCAAATCCTTTTTTTTTTTATTCTTTGGCAGAGAGAAAAATAATATTCACACTATATTCACCTACTGCAACAAATAATCCCAGTTTAAATAATCTTAACATCTTTTAAACAAAACAAAATTGTGGGCTCAATATTTTTGTGTGACAGCTTTTATACATGTGGCTTTTCACTCCCTCTGCTCACCTCTTTATGTTTCCTCCTCTCACGCTTGCTCTCCTCTCTGTCAGTAACATCTGTTGACATAATGGGCTCAGATTTCAAGCTCGAGTAGACTCACTGTCCCCACGTGGCAGCTCTCCCTGGATATGACAGCCCGAAGAAGAAAGGCATGCTGCTAGGACACTGAGAGAGACTGAGCAGTAATGGTGCAAAGAGAAGACCGGGACAGAGGGCAATGCTCAGTGGCACAAAAAGCACAAGCTGGACCACTTGGCCTATTTCTTCAATTCTTTTTTTATTTCGTCCAACAATCAACCGCGTTTTGTTAGAGCTTTTCAGGATTTTCCAGGATTTCCTCTTCCAAAGTAACAGCCTCGTGTTCTTCTACGTTTTTGAAAGCGGGACGGCCTCGCCAGTACTTAGTAACTCTGTTTACCACTTTCCGTGAAACACATAACTCACTCATTAAAATGTCAAAATTAATAACTGCAACCAAATGAACTGTTCCAATAATCAACCTATTAAAATGTTGGGAGTGAATGTTTGTGTGGAGAAATGTGTCACCTTTCACATTTTCTTTAAGAAGTCAAAAAAAAGTGACAAATGATGTTTTAAGTAACAGGCTTCATCCATCATGAAACTGAATGGCTTCTGTGACTGTGAGTCATACATATGACATCATGTCTCATCTGTCACCCTTGCCCAAATATGCAGCGTAAACCCTTCTTAGAAATCGATAACAAAAGCAGCATCACCGTCACAATGATGTATTGAAGTCAAGCTAAACATTGAACAAACACTCCACTGGGCTCAGTGTCGTAACACTGTCAAGACTGTTTTCTACGTGTGCGACAGTGCGTTGTGCGACTTTCTAGATTACTATGTCAAGAAGTCAGGCTGCAGATGATGATCAGATTAAGGACAATCTGACATTGGTACTTTGGATCAGGGTCAGGGCTGTGGTTACCAAGCCTCTCCACGCTCTCTTTCCACTTAAACAAAACGTCTCTCTGTGATGATCATCTTAAAAATTTTGAATTCCAAATCCATTATTTAAGGATGAATTTTAATAATATGAGTAGAAACGTCGCTCTGACTCTGCCGGCTCTGTGTAAATATTTCAAAGGCACTCTCTGTACCAAATGAGGGCGAGGGGGAAGAAAGCAGGCTGCAGTGATACATGCACAGATAAACACTGTATTTGGGAAGTGCAGCAACTCAAGGCTGAGACAGAAATCCAACAGTAATGCTCATTAACTAATTAGCGGTAAAGAGGGTACAAAGTGATGCAGATTATGGTGCGACATGACACAAGGACGAACTCATTAAATTTTGGTGCAGATCTGGATCGGGGGGGCGCCTCCAGTTTATTTTTTTCGTTTTCTTTAAAATGCAAGATTTTTTGACATCTAATATTTATGAATGTGTGCTATTTGGTGCAGATCCAAATAAAATCCAGATCTAGTGAATTTAAATGTGATTTCATAAGGAGACTGTTGGAGGTATGCACTCCTTCTGAGAGCCATTTGACCAAATTTAACGTCTTCTAATCTAATCTAATCTGACACACGATGTGTGTACTTGAATTTAAGGTGGCACAACACAAGATGACAAAACCCAAACACATCATTAAGGTCAGTGTGTAGTTTATTTCCGGACAATACAATTCTTGGTACATCGACTTCATTGAATGTGGGTACGAAAAAAGTGTAGAAACACAATGTCCTCTTTGAATATGAAATGCTGTTGACACCGTTGTAGCATACGGCAACAAAACACACAGGTGACACAGGCACTGTTCACTGTCGGGGCCTGTTTGTTGAACTGCTAGAGATGCTCCTGAGACATACAGTATGTCTTGATATTAGTGCGACGATGGACACTTCTACTGGTCAATACCTCCATGGCAACTGGAAGCTCCTCTTAATTCTTTCAGTCAGAGCCACCTAGACATAATTTCACTCGCACTTGTATTTGGAAGATTAAATATGCTACCTATCTCCTCACCAGCTGCCTCCGAAAACTTAAGCAGTCTTAATTTCTGCTAATCCCCTAATCACACTTGTAGAAGCCACTGCTGGCTGATTTGGCGTAATTACCTTCCTGTTGTCGTAGGTGGCTCGGGTAAATCCCTCAGATCGGATGCCTCATCAAATGATCGGGCTTCATGTGATGTGGATGAGCTGATTAGTGAACACTGCACATCAGCAAACTGATCGAGCAAAAGAATCCTTTTTTACTGACAATTCACAGACATCAGTATAGACAGGAGTCCTAATATTGACAAACCATGCAATTTTGCACAACGGTTGCAATCCATAATGTAGTAAGTTCTCCTGAAACAAGACAAAAAGCCAACATTCCCAACAAAGAAAGCACCCATTATATTCATACAAACATAATGTAGCTAATATTGTTCTTCGTGTTAGCACATAAAGAAATGAATATACAGTATATGGTGGGGGTTTTATGTTTGCATAGCCATAAACTAAGGTAGAAACCAAACAGGACACAGAGATATAAATGTATATGTGAAGTTCTGACCCCAGCACACAGCAGTCAGTCCATCTGTCAGTGTGTTATTAATAATGTGGCGCACCCAAAGAGGAACGTGCAGTGGGGAACAGTTGTGGCTCAGTGTTGTAAGACTTTGGATCTTTGCTACATCTGGACAGAGTTTAACAGTCACACTTGTGCCAAGTCAAAAACTAAACTAAAGAACAGAGGTCCCCTGGGCCCAATCCGCACATTCCCAGAAAATATATATGTAGTGTTCTTTGGATGAGAACTAGATTACTGTTATAATACTGCATACGTCTGGGTAGCTGGAGTATTTCCAAGAAGCATTCACTCAAGAGTCAGTCAGGAGAGTCAGGGAAAAAGGGGGTAGAAAAAACACTTTACACAAGGGTACGTGTCTCATAAAAAGGTGCAATCTGTAACAGTCAAAAGTGCTCTCCCTGCTTTGTAATGGTATAGTTTTGTATCCAATTTATATGCGACTGTAATGTTGAAAAACTAAATCCTTTAAAAAGGTGCGATCCCTGCACATACAAAACAAATCGGTCCGTTTCTGTATTTCGCAGGAGCGCTAAAGTATATTTTCTGCTTTTTGTCAGTAAAACGTACTGTTAGTAATAAACTTGAAAAATGACAATTTACAGATTACACCTTGTGGAGTGGAGAAATCTTTAAAGCAGCCAAAGATAACATAACACTGTCTCAAAGAGAAGGAAAAATAAAAATTCCAGTGACATCCATAGTTTTTTTTTGCACGCCACAGATCATGGTGCAAATATTGTAAAAATAAATACATAAATACATACATGGGTAATCCATCCTTCAATACATACACATATTGTATCATAAAATAAGATAATTATAATATAATTATAAAATTCATATGTACAAATGCATAGTCCATATGCGTCCAACAAGAGTCCAAGCAATGAAGTTTCCTCTCTTTTGTTTGGTGTGTGTGTGTGTTTGTTTCCATGTGGGTGTGTGTAATATGTTTGTGTGCTGTGGTGTGTGCATGGCACTTACTGTACAAGAACACAGGGGTTACACACCAGGTCACTCTGTGCTGTCTCGTCTCATCTCCAGTCAGTTGGTTATTATTGGGTAAAAGTTCACAGGTCAAAAGTTGAGAGGTACGTGGCCAGGCGTCTCCGAAGAGTCTAGTGTGCGTGTCCTGAAGAGCTGTGTGAGTGCAAATACGGAGGAGATGAGCACGGTGCAGCGTTTGGCCAGCAGCCTCACCCCGTCACTCTCCCCCTGACCCAGTCCCACCCCACTGAGGCCTACACTCTTACCCCCAGCCCCAGTGCCTGCAGTCTCAACAGCCCCGACAAACTCCCTGTAGAGACCCACTATCTCCTTTAGCTTTTCCATGGCCTCCTGACTGTCGTCGTCCTCATCGCCGTGGACCAGACTCGCATTATGGCAAATGTCACAGCCAGAGCAGGGGTTTGTTCGCAGGCAGGCTAAAGACAACTGTACCAGAGCACTGAAGCTGTTGGATAATGAACGTAAGGCTTCATCAGGAGCCCAGCCGACACGCGTGGCCCGCTGACACCCAGATGCCAGTCGTCGAGCTTCTGCCTGGAGGAGAGTCCTTTCAGCCTCCGTCATGGTGAAAGAGCTTGTCCCAGTACATTTTGAGACTGCTGCCGTGGTAGTGCTGTCTTCAGTCCCATTATGATTTAGGTCAGGCCCTACTTTTATATCCTGCTTTGAGTCTTGAGATAATGTTTGTTGTGGTTGCTCAAGTGCTCCGCTCTCTAGGACCAGCAGAAGTTGATCTATATCTTGACGGAGGGAGGCAAACCCCCCCTTCAGCCCACCGTAATTCTTGTTGGTGAGCGATCGAAGAGGACCACCAAAAGAGGTTGTGGGGGAAACTGGTCGTGACACTAAGGGACTGAGTTCAGAGGAGGCAGTAGAGAAAGTAGAGAGTGGGCGTGGGTTGTCTTTCAGCAGAGACAAAATGTTTGGGTTGGGAGAAGGTGTTGGAGGAGAAGGGACAGGTCCTTGCTGGGTAGGTTTGGGCCGAGTGCGGCGGGAGAATTCGTAAACGGTAAGCTCCTCATCAAAACTAACACCATCCTCAGTGTCTCCACTGAAACAGTTGGCGTAAACAGTGCGGCAGCCACAAGCCTCCCGGTGCTGCTCCGGTGGAGTGCTGTCTGCGAGCAAGGAGGTTGGTGAGTCTCCCCCAATCTGCATGCTGGACACACCTCCCAAACCTACAGCTGAGTGGGACCGTGACTGAGGCTGCTCTGATGAGACACTGCCACTGTGCGTAATATGATCTTTAATAGTCAGATTAGGGTGTGAGCCATTT